GTGAATGATAGCTATAGATTGGATAGATGAGTGAAAAAAGCAAGTCAAATAATATCCTCAAGAAAGAATGCTATTTTATACAACTTTTATTTTTTTTTTATTTTTTCTTTTTCTTCTTTTTTTTTTTTTTTTTTTTGAGACGGAGTTTCACTCTTGTCACCCAAGCTGGAGTGCAATGGGGCATCTTGGCTCACTGCAATCTCCGCCTCCCAGGTTCAAGCGATTCTCCTGTCTCAGCCTCCCGAGTAGCTGGGATTACAGGCACCCACCACCAGGCCTGGCTACGTTTTTGTATTTTTAGTAGAGATGGGGTTTCGCCATGTTGGCTAGGCTGGTCTCGAACTCCTGACCTCAGGTGATCCGTTCACTTCCATCTCCCAAAGTGCTGGAATTATAGGCATGAGCCACCGCGCCTGGCCTGCGTAAAACTTTTGAACAAAGGAAACTAAATCCACTAGATAAGGATTCATAGGTATGTGGTAAAACTATACAAACACTTCTCTACTTACAATGGGGTTACCTCCTGATAATCTATCATAAGTTGAAAATATCCTATGTCAAAAATGCATTTAATACACCTAACCTACCAAACATCATAGCTTAGCTTACCCTACCTTAAACATGCTCAGAACACTTACATTAGCCTATAGTTGGGCAAAGTCATCTAACACAAAACCTATTTTATAATAAAGTGTCTAATATAACCTGTAATTTATGGAATACTGTACTAAAAATGAAAACAGAATGGTTGTATGGGTACTCACCACATGGTTTCTACTGAATGCATATAGCTTTTGCATCACTGTAAAGTTAGGAAATCGAAGCAGAACCATCATAAGTCAGGGGTCGTCTGTAAAGGTAGGCACTAGAAAGGATAGTGGTTAACTCTTTTGTGAAGTTCGTGGGACCCTTTTTGGTAACCAACAGTACTGATTACCACATAGTCACACTATATGAATTAAAACGAAGGTCCTGGATGCACTTGGTGTCTCACGCCTGTAATCTCAGCACTTTGGGAGTATCACTTTAGGCCAGGAGTTCAGGTTACAATGAACTATGATTATGCCACTGCACTCTATCCTGGGTAACAGACACTCTCTCTAAAATTAAATTAAAACAATAAATAAAATAAATACAATTAAAATTAAATACAGAGGTTCTCAGAACATAGTCCTCCCCACCCCCACCAGGAATATCACCATCATCTGGGGACCTGTTAGAAATGCAAATTCCCAGGCCCCTTCTAGACCTATTGAACCAGAAGTTCTGGAAGTGGGGTGCAGCAATCTGTGTTTTATCCAGCCTACCAGGTAATTTTGATACACACCAAAGTTTGAGAACCACTAGATTAAGAGATAAGTTTTACTGGGGAAAGTAGAAACTTACAAAACCAAGAGAAAATACAGGTTCCCCGCTTCTCCCATCATCCCAAGGAGCAACACGTAGGGGGCCAGGGTACTCTGCTGGATACGTGGTGTGGGTTCGCATAATAGGAGAAGAATCCCATCCCCTTGTTGCTCTCCTTTTTATAGGGTACACACAAAAAGAACCTTGTCAGTAAGGAAATTACTAGAGCACCAGGCAATCTGTTTATAGGCCTTTTTTGTTTGTTTGTTTGTTTGTTTGTTTGTTCGTGATGGAGTCTCACTCTGTCGCCCAGGCTGGAGTGCAGTGGCGCGATCTCAGCTCACTGCAAGCTCCACCTCCTGGGTTCAAGCCGTTCTCCTGCCTCAGCCTCTCGAGTAGCTGGGACTACAGGTGTGAGCCACAGTATTCACTGTTCCTTATCTTAAATATTATGTAGGAATAATATTAGCTTATCAGATTAAATATATGAAAGAAATGTCAGAAATTCAAAGTAGCAATTCTCTTCAAAATGCAAATCAAACCCACAATGAGATAACATCTCATCCCAGTAAGAATGGCTATTATTAAAAAGTCAAAAAATAATAGATGCTGGCAAGGTTGCAGAGAAAAGGGATCACTTATATACTGTTGGTGGGAATGTAACTTAGTTCAGCCACTGTGGAAAGCAGTTTGGTGATTTCTCAAAGAACACAAAGTAGAATTACCATTCAACCCAGCCATACCATTATTGTGTATATACCCAAAGGAATATAAATGATTCTACCATAATGACACATGCACACATACGTTCATCACAGCAGTATTCACAATAGCAAAGACATAGAACCAACCTAGATGCTCATGAATGGTGAACTGGATAAAGACAATGTAGTACATATATACCATGGATTACTATGCAGCCATAAAAAAGAACAAGATCATGTTCTTTGCAGCAACATAGATGGAGCTGAAGGCCATTATTCTAAGTGAACTACCACAGGAACAGAAAAGCAAATACTGCATGTTCTCACTTACAAGTGGGAGCTAAGCATTGAGTACATATGGACGCAATGAAGGAAACAGCAGACACCAAGGCCTGCTTAAGAGTGAAGGGTGGGAGGAAGGTGGGAATCAACAAACCACCTATCTGGCGCTATGCTTATTACCTGAGTGATAAAATAATCAGTATATCAAACCTCCATGACACAAAATTTACCTTCATAGCAAGCCTGTACATATTCCTGAACCTGAAATAAAAGTTAAAAAAAATTACCTTTATGAATAAACAAATCCGTAGTCTTAAAAAGAATGAAAGTTGTATACTTGTATTTTTTCTTCACACTGATATAATCAGAAAAATATATGACTTTTTTTGTGGGGTGGAGACAGTCTCACTCTGTCTCTCAGGCTGGAGTGCAGTGGCACAATCTTGGCTCACTGCAACCTCTGTCTCCCGGGTTCAAGCATTTCTCGTGCTTCAGCCTCCCAAGTAGTAGCTGGGATTACAGGTGTGTGCCACCACACCCAGCTAATTTTTTCTTTTTTTTAGTAGAGACAGGGTTTCGCCATGCTTGCCAGGCTGGTCTTGAACTCCTGGCCTCAAGAGACCCACCCACCTCAGTCCCCCAAAGTGCTGAGATTACAGGCATGAGCCACTGCACACAGCCTGATATAGTTATTTTTTAAACCCAAATTATCAAATAAGTCTAGTTTAATTGCACGAACTTGATTTCTTTCTTTCTTTCTTTCTTTCTTCCTTCCTTTCTTTCTTTCTTTCTTTTTTAAGTGCTTTTGAGCTAGCAGCTTCTGTGAGAAGGATCTTTTTTTCTTTTTTTTTTTTTTTTAAAGCAGGCTATCACATTTAAAGCATTAGACATTCAATTTACATTGAGGAAATGTTGAGAATATTAGATTTCTATAAGTGCTTTTTAGTTTCTCTAAAAGGATTGTCATTTTAGGCCAGATAATTGTTTTGTCATGCAGGGCAATCCTAAGCATTGTGAGATGTTTGCAGCATACCAAACCTCTACTCATTAGATGCCAAAAGCGCCCCCAAATTGTAACAGCCAAAAATGTGTCCAGACATTGCCAAACATTCCTGAGGGAAGAGTGGTGATATTGCTCCAAAACAATCATAATGGTACTCTTTAAAGAGTATTCTAATTTATTTTACTTATACCCTCCCACGCCGTTCCCCCGCCGCCCCGAAGTAGGAATATATCCCAAACTCACACAGCCAGAGGTAAAGACTTTTCTCACTAGATGCTCAAAAACACAAGGCTCTTGCAGCTTCAGCGTAGCAAATTAGCAACGGGTCGTAAGCAATCAAAGGACACACACTCACCTGTCTGTTATCCTTTCCAGTGGACCCAAGACTGGTTTGTGCACAGAGTTAAACATGTGGAACTGTAAGTCCAATTAAACCTCTTTTTCTTCCCAGTCGTGGATATGTCTTTATCAGTAGCGTGAAAATGGACTAATATAGTTATCAAGTTTCTTCAGTTTTCTCCAATCTCAAAAAGCTCTTTAATCTTTGGAAGAGTACATGCCTTACCTTTTGTAGGATGGTCCTTGAGCTGGATGTTTCCTTATGATCAGACTCAGGTCATTCATTCACGGCAGGAGTATCATGGAAATGAAACTATGCCCTTCTAAGAGTATCAGCCATAGTACGGCGCATATGCCGTTGACTGTTTCCACCTCTGGTGATGATAACACTGGTCATCACCTGTCATGTTGGTGTCTGCCAAGTTTCTTCACTGTAAAGTCATAATTTTCCTCTTTGTAATGGATTCGTATTTTGTGGGAGGCAGATAATCTGCAATCACACCAATATCCTATTCCTTCATCTTCCTGCAACTAGTGCGTCCACTGACATAAAGCTACTTAGAGCATTTTCTACTTTATCTAAGATAATCATGTTTTTATTCCTAATATTGCTTGTTTGTATAATCTCTTTCTGTCCCATCTCTCTTATTACATGTTTATTCGTTTTTTGAAAGAGAAGAAAAAACAACCTTTATTTTTGATCTTCTCCTATTTTTCTTCTATTTCATTAACTTCTGCTCTTACATTTATTTCCATTCTTCCACTTGTTTTTCTTCAACCTCTTGAGTTAAATCATAATTCATTTTTTAAAAAGCTCCTTGGTTTTCATAGGTTCATTTAAGACTATAAACTGACCTTCCAAATACTGCAAGCTGTATCCTAGAATTTTTAAGTTAGGTTTACTGAGGTATAATTTACATGCAGTAAAATTCACTCATTTGTGATACATTGTTCTATGAGTTTTGATCAATATATATAGCTCTGTAACCTCAACCACAACCAAGATATTAAATATTTCCATCTCACCAAAGTTTTCTCGTATTTCTTTGCAGTCAATTTCCTCCTCCTGTAACTGACTCAAGTTCAGGTGCTCACCGTTAGAAGTCAAAGCATGAGAAATGAGGTGTGACAAAAGGGAAACGGCTTTTATTCAAATGTTAGCAGATGGGGAATGTCCAGGCTCACGCCCTTAACAGACTATTTCAAACTTTAGGCTGTGGACAGGGGTTTAAAGAGGGGAACTTGGAATAGAAGGCATGCAGGAGTGGTGCTGGGTGCGAGGTCTGTGTGTCTGGTTCCACTGGTTATCCTGAGTCATGGTCCACTTGGAGTGCAGGCTCGCATCATCTCAACAGCTAACATCTCAACAGTTAGCTATTGACTAACTGCCCTGAGGTAATCTCTGGAATTTCACACCTGGGTTTCCATGCCTGGTTTGTCTCAAGATTAGCCCCTGCAGCTTCTAGACACATAATTAGATAAACTACCAGTGCACAAGAGTGTCTGGTGGGAAGACAGGGGAACAAAGAGTATTAAGGTATGTTTCAAGGCTAAAAGGAAGGAAAAAAAAAAAAGTCTCAAAATGCATTTTGAACCTAAGCTACTCAGTTACATCCTCCCAGCCTCCAACCCTGGCAACCACTGAACTGAATTCTTTTCCTATTCTTTCGTCTTCTTTCAGAATGTTATATAAGGAAATCATGTAGTATGAACCCTTCTGTTTTCTTCTTATGTAGCACAATGCTTTTGAGATCCGTCTCTGCCATTGTGTTTCATGCATTCTTTTGTTGCTAATTATTATATAATATACATGTACAGACTTGTTTGTCTATTCTATAGTTGGTAGACATTTTGGTTGTTTCCAGTTTTTGGTAATTATGAATAAAACTGCTATAAACATTCAGGAGTAAATACTTAAAAATATAATTATGGGGCCATATGATAGGTTTAAGTTTACTAATTTTATAAGAAACTCCTAAACTACTTCAAAAGTACAAATTTTACATTTCTACCAGCAATGTTTAAACGTTTCCATTACTCTGCATATTCACCAGGACTGGGTATCAATAGTTTTATGGACCTTTAAAACATTTTATCAAATCTAATAGTTATCTATTTGTACCTCACTACAGATTTAATTTGCATTTGCCTGGTAACTAGTGACATTAGCATCTTTTCATGTGCTTAATTGTTCCACTCTTCAGTGATACATCTGTTAAATGTGTTTTATGTATTCTGGATACGCTTTTCAAATATTTTATTTCATTGTATGGTTTGTCTTTTCATCCTTCACAATGTCTTTTAAATAACAGAAGTTTTAATTGTGATAAAGCTTAATTCAACCACTTTTAAAATAGTTGTTTGAGTCTTAACTAAAAAGTTTCCTAACCTAACACACAAAGCTTCTCTATTTTCTTCTAGAAATGTTATAGCTTTAGGTTTTAAATGTAGATGTGTTTCATTTTCAGTTAAATTTTTATATGACACCATGTATAGGTCCAGGCTCATTTTTTCACACATGGTTGTCCAATTGTTTCATATCGTGTGTTTAAAAAGAGTGCCCTTTCTCCATTGAAATATCTTGGCAATGTTTTCAGAAATCAATAGACTCTCTCTCTATATATATAGTCTATTGACACACACATATATATAGTCTATTGACATATAGATAGTCTACTGACATATATATAGTCTACTGACATATATATAGTCTACATAGTCTATTGACATATATATGTGTGTATATATATGGGTCAAAGCAATTACAAACAAGAAGAAATATCTTTTATATTTACCTTCATTTTTGCTGCTTCCAACACTATTCA